TAGTTATATTATCTATATCTTATCACGTGATAATGTGACTATATAAAGGGAAATTTTATTATATTAACTAATAATATTGGTTGAATAATTGGTATGATAGTGATTATAATTAATATGTGATTATAAAGAGGGTTTTTATATTTTAAAAAATCAGAATTAAAATATAGTGTGCTTATAAAGAGGGTGTGATTATATAAGGTGTGATTGTAGAGAGGGTTGACTGTATATACTAGATTAGAATTACAATTAGAAGTAAGATATTAATTTCAAATTATATAAGTAATTAATTTTTTATTTTAAAATTCTAATATTTAAATATTTAAAATTAAGATCAGTGCACATACCATTCTTGAAGCCTATAAACATGTTTGATTTATTGGTTATAGTACTCCATCACTATCCAAACCTATTATTCAACGAGTCAAATTACCAGAGAAATCATTAGTTCAATTTGAAGTGTTTTTTTCAAATAATGAAAATGTAAATATGAGTAGTTATAAGACAGATAGTAAAATTGGATTGCCTATACTATACCTTCAATATACTAAAGCATCATTATGGAAGAAATTTTCAGAATCATATTCTAATAGTATACGAAGAACTATATTTATGATGCGTTTTCAAGGAAATCGATATCAATATAAAGAGGATTTGGAAGGCTTATGCTCAACCTGTAATGAATGTGAATATGAAGTTTTTGTGGAGATTGAAGATTTGATTGAAAATTATGTTATTAATATTCAATTACGGGTATATTTACCTATTAATTAATGAATAAATTATTTTAATATTTATACTTCTAATTAAAATTTTTAATAGAAAAAATTAAAATACAAGCACAAGTTTTGAGACGTTATTTGCATAGAGATTTTGCAAAAGAATTAAATATTGATTCATCAGGTTGTGCAAAACATAGTAGATATATCAGTCATTGTCTACCTCATGCATTTAGTGAATATTATTTGGATCATCCAGATACTTGTGATAATTGTAAATCCCTTTTATTATTTTTTGATACTTTACAAAAAAACCTTGAAAAAGAATAACAAGAAAAGTTACCAGTCTATTAAAATCAATTAATTATTTTTATGGCACATTATGCTCGCAAATCTTACCTCAATGTACAGTTTAATGCTCAATTCTCTCAACTCGATTCAGATGGAGCTTTAATAATTGTAGATTATAAAATGAAAATTCTTTCAAAAAAAGCTCATGAAACAAAAATGAATGGTTTAGAAAAAGAGGATAGACACTTCATTCTGTTCTTGTGTATACAAAAAATTCTGAAAATAATAACTAGAAAGTGCAAGCTTTTGACTATTGGTCTGGAAATACTCAGTAGGATGGATGGTTTATGGCATTTTCATTACATTCAGTAATAGAAACTTTGGAGTAAAAACTAAAATAAGTCACTATTATTTCAGATAATAGAGAATATTATCGTAATACAGAATTAATGATTATTATGAGTTATTAGAAAGAATGGTATAATATAAGTCCTCATAGATGGTTATTTTTAAAAGCAGGTGAAGCAAAAACTGCAATAGACTCTCACTATGTTCAGGTATAAACAAATATCTGATTTTTTATATTATTTGTAATTAATATAAATTATTATTTATTTTAGATTTCTTACGTAATGAAAAGATAGATAAAAATAGGACATGAAATAGAAGAAGGAGAAAACATTGAAAATGCTATCAAAAATCTTTCAGGTACTCATGTATCTCATCTTGAACTAGACCGTGATAAAAATAAATATTTAGTTTCTTTTTTTTTGAAAAAATAAATGATAATATTTTTAAATAAAAAGGAAAATTAGGAACAATTAATGGTATATCAAATTGGTACAAGTTTACTTAGCCTGAAACAGGAAAGAATGCCAGATATATATGTGTTTGTACACTGCCAGAGTTTGGTAATTGAAATAAAATTTCTTCAATCAAGTTGATAAAATTACAAAATCACGCACCTTTGAAAAACCAACACTAAGCTATACAATACATACACAACCTTTAAAATTATGGACTATACCATCAACATTAAGAAAAGGTAATTTGTCAACAAAATTATTTCGTAATTATTTTGTATTGACAAATATCATTTTTTTTAGAAAATACCTAAGGAGATCAAGAAATTCTGAAAGTAAGTATACAAAACATATCTGTTTTTTTTCATCAGAATACCTATTAAAAGAGTTGTAAACAGGTTGAAGAAGAATAAATTGAAGGTATGGATATTGATCCAATATCAAAAAGGTATATTGAACTTTTTATCATTCTTTTATATTGTGTTGTATAAAATATCATGAATATATTCATGTTTTTTTTATTGATAGTGCCATTATATTTGGTTGTAAATAGACTCTATCCGAAAATTTAAAAGTGAATCAAAAAGTACTAACCAAACGAATCACAGAACATGTCAAAGAACTGCTTATTATAATGTTTCACACAGGTACTGCTAATCCTAGGCTAAAAATGAATGCTAATGAAATGCACAAGGAGCTTTTGAAAAGAGTGACAGATAATGAAATTTCCAAAGATGATATGCTAAAAGTTTTTACAATTACGAATTAGATAATAAGCACATTACGATCATTCAAGAAAATCATGTCACTAAAGCTTCTTGAAGAAGCGAAATCATCTGAACAATAAGTTTATATTCAATTATGCAAAAAAAATTAGATTTTGTTTTTTATACTATATAATTTATATCCTGATTCAATATATAAAGAAAATAATAATAATAAAAAAATCTATAGCTAAAAAAAAAAACAAAAAAAATCTAATCTTACCAAATAATCTAAAAAAAAATAAAATTGAAATATTCTCAAAATGCACAACAAATTCTAAAAGATGAATAAAATCAATAAAAAGAAAAAAAGAAAAAGATCTCACTTCTGAATCTCAAAAAAATTATCGAAATTCAAGGACAAGAAAATAAATTTTCTCCAAATCCATAAAGAAAGAAAACCTCCGGGTGAATTGTTCTAAAAGATAAAAAAAAATCAATAAAAAAAAAAAAATCGAAAAAAACACCTAGAAAAAAAGATTCCACTTCTGAATCTTACAAAAAATTATCGTGAAATCTAAGAACAAAAAAAGATCAATTTTCTCTAATTCATAAAAAAGAAAGAGAAAAACCGGTGAGAGTGATAAACTATTTCCAAAATATAAAAAAAATCAATAAAAAGAAACATCAAAAAAAAACTAGAATAAAAGGAAAATATTTTCCTATCTTCGAACCTTAAAATAATATTTATCACAAATTCAAGGACAAATCAACAAAATTCTACTTTAAATCCATAAAAAAAGAGAAACGATATGAAAGGACGAACTTTTTCTAAAGGTAAAACAAATCAATAAAAAGAAACAAAATCAAAAAATAATCAATAAAACGAGAAAAAAAATCTCGTCAATTCATAAAGAAATTTACCATGAAATAGAAATAAATTAGACTTCTAAATACATAAATCATTTCTAAAGATGAAAATAAAATTAATAAAAAGAAAAAAAAATTTTATAATTTCTAAAGAACTTACTATGAAATCCTTAAATTTAAGAGAAAAATAGAACTATAATGTTAACAAAAAAACTGTAGCATCGCAACTTTTTGAGAAGTAAAAGTTGTCTAAATCTTCTAAATAAACAAATTTATATTATTTTATTATGGAAAATTGCTAAATGTAGATTTATAAATTTCCATAATTTTCTTGGAATCTAGCGTTCGTATATAGTAAAGTCATTAAAAATACAACTAACAACTAGTTCTACAATGACTTTTTGAATTCTCTGACCTTTTTTGTATTAGATCGTATGATTTTTGTATGATATTGTACAAACAATATGCAACTTATTTTAGTAATGATTATTAATATTTTGTATATTAGTATTATATAGGAGGTTTGCTATTAAAATCACATTACAGATCATATGATTTACTATATTCGTAACTCAATTTTAATAGCAAATCTCCTATATTATAGGGTCTGATATTCAATATTATTTTTTAATGTATATTTGATAATTAATATTTATATAATATACATTTTTTATGTGGTTTTTGATATTATAAATAAATTTTAGAATAAATAAAAATTACTATAAGTTTTTAACTGATAATTGTAATGTAAATTTTATGATAAAAGTTGCAATAGCTAATCATTATTTTAATACTATTATGCAATATTATGTATTTTATATTCATCAAAACTCAAAAAAAAAGATTTCAAATAAATGTGAATTTTTATTTTCTAACTTTTATATTATACATAATTTACTTATTATTTTAGATTTTATAACTCATTAGTTAAAATTAATAAGCAAATTCAAAAGTTTGTAATTATTTTAAATATGTATTACATCTTATTAAAGAATATTGATTATATATTTTTATTAAATAGTTTTTTGCAAATACATATTTAATAAATATGTTAAGAATATGAATTAAATTATAAAATTAGAAGTAAATTTAGAAAATTTATTATGTTAACTTATATAAGAATTAAAATATAATTAAAAATAAAATGAAATATATAAAATTACAAGAATTTTATAATATAAATACTTCAACAGATTTTTTTATGTATTTAACATTATTTTTAAACTATTAATAATATTTATAAAAAATTATTTCATATCAAATTCACTAGCTTTATAAAAAAAATAAATGCTAGAAAGCCTCCTATATTAAGTAATATTATAAGATAATGAAAGTGTTATTTAATAAGTAATTTGCTTTAATTTATTTTAATTTATTAATTTATAATTAAGATATTATTATTTTTTATTTAAAAAATTAAATTGATATAATATGGATTTTAGATAATTATAAAGATTATAGACATTACTTGATATGATTTTAGAAAATTGTTCTAGTAATACAGTAGATAAGATCTGAAAAGTAAAATATATTTAATCTATAATAAATTATTCATAGTTTATCATATTATTTGATAATATATTATATTATTACATATATTTCTATTTAATTTATGTTGTAAATATTTTTTTGCTATGATGATTTATTTAAAAAAAATACAATTTAATATAAAGTTAAAATCTTTTTAAAGAAGATCTTTAGAGATTAATAAAATATCAGAACAATCTATTTACTTATTTTAAAATAAAACACTTAAACTATTTCTAACTAGATCTTTTTAAATATTAAATAATATTTATAGATAAGTAATTTATATTGAGCTTATTGAGAATTCAATAAAATATTTTATGAAAATATGCTTGAGTTTATAAAAAAACTTTAAATTTAGCAATTGCTAATAATTTTAGTAATATATTTGAAGAATTTGAAGAGCTTTACAATAATTTATTAAATAGTAAATAATTGTATTATAAAAATTTAGAAAATAGTTTAAATTAAGTTATTTAGTATTCTTATGATTTCAGATATACTTTAATATAAGATAAAGGCTGATTTTCAAATAAAAGACATTTATCAGAGATTGAAAATTATTTAACTAAGTATAAACAAGAAATCTCAGAAGAGTTACAAAGAAAAAATAAGAGTTAATATGTTAAATACAAGTCTTAGTATTACAAAGTTGCCTTTAAATAATTAATTTACTCTGATAAAGAGAATATTTTAAGGTTTAAATATATTATAATTATTTTAAGTAATAGCTCAAATTATTACTATAATTCAAACTTAGCAACTTTTGATCATTACAGTCTATCCTTAATATAGTAAATTTTGATATAATAAATCACGTGATGATTGACCAATTAAATATATTAATTTTCCCTCTCTATAACAAAGTAACTAATTAAATTTTCAAATTCTTCACTAATTTACTATAATAAAGTTGAGGTGCAAAACAGCTACTTTATTATATTAAGAGTAGACTGTATATATAGATTGATATTTATTAATATTTCTTTTTTTTTATAATATTGTATTTCTTTATATCTATCTAAAGTTATGTTGTAATTTTCTTTTTTTTCAAAATCATTTTAATGTAAAAACCATTTTTGCATATATAAATGATGCAAATAAATTTATTTATATAAATTAAAAATTTAAAAATTCTGATAGTAAATTCACATAACTTATGAAATAAAATACTAGTATTTCTTCATATAAATTATAAACTCTCTAATTATATTAGATAATACATTATAATAATAATTAATTATATAAAATGTTTTATTAAAATATATAATCAAAAAATTAAAAAAGTAAATGTTTTATAAATAAAATAAAAAAAATATGTATTATTGAAAATAAAATTACTAACATTTATAAAAAAGGTAGCAATTGATATACTTTTATATGTAAAGATCAATAAAATTAGCTGCTATAAAATATAACAAAATAATTTAATAATACTAATAGTTATATAATCAAACTTTTAAAATTTTTATTAATTATAGAAATTTAAGTGAAAAATTTTTAATTCTTATCAATAATCCTGTAAAAATACATTAGCAATTAGTTTAAATGTGTATTTTAACATTTTCTATATATGGTACAATTTTTTATTGAAGAAAAGTTGAATAATAATTATAATGCAATTTATGATTTAATAAAAATATTTTAGGATTGAATAGTAGTTTTTAAATTAAATTATGGTTATTTCTGTTAAATGTAATACTAACCAGTAAAGTTATTTTTAAATTAAATTAATTACAAAATGTAATTATTATAATATTGATCTTTTGAAATTTAAACCTCATTTAAAACAGGCATATCAAAAATTATACAATATTCAGTGTTTAATCTTAGATTAGGAATGCTAATGGCCACGGTCATGACCGGTCACGATATCGGCTTCTGACTAACTGGTTAATCAACCTGTTTTGACCGACTTTGACAACCACTTTTTAGCCATGTTTTAATTAGTAAAAAAAATCTTTTTTTTTTTATTTTTAAAGTTCACGAAAATGCCACGCCACTGAATAAACTTATTGACAAAAGAATAAGTAAAATCAAAACATAAAAAATTATTTTTTATATAAAGAATTTAAAAAAATGCCATGCTAGAATTAAAGCAAAAATTAAAATTATAATATTTGGCTAAATAAAAAACTTTCTAACAAGCCAAATACTGTTATCATTAACCGGTCGGTCAAAGGCCTCTGCCCGACCAACAGATTAATAGACAAAATTATTTATTAGATGAATAAGTATTTACTGTGGATTAGAATTGGATTTAGATTAATATTGAAAAGAAAAAAGTCTAAAGTTACCGAGAATGGCATCGATTTATATTTGGTTACCAGAAGCCGAGTATACATATAAAGTAGTTTTTCTAATTAAAGAATATTTCTACCTAAAATTTAAAATTTAAACGTACTTTTTACCAGAAAACTTATAAACAACATATTATCACTATTTTTATTTACATATTTTGAGATTCACCGTCATATGCTTTGCATTAAAAACATCATGTTAATTTAGATTTTTAAGTATAATAATAAATTGTCAATAAATAAGTGATATTATGCTGAATAATCAAGATAACAAATGTAAACGATAATTTATTCATAATTGAAAAGAAACTTATTTGGTAGAAGTTCGAATGTTTGATTAATGAATAATGCATTGCATAATGCATATC